GAAATTTTCCAGCTCAAACAGCTTTCCAGAAAGTACAAATGCAAATATACGCAGTCCTTCTTAATTTGATCAACATTTAATATGCAATAGCCGCCGAAATATAATAATGAAACAATCAGTAATGGCATTTCGGCGAGAAATTTCACAATTTCCTACATTGCCATAGGTTACAGATATATGTATGAATAATTTCAAAATTTACAAATATTTCATTCAGATGTAGTGTCTAACAAATTTTTCAGTTTTCTCATGCAAAAAATTTCAAGGGACAGCAGAATTTGAAATTTTTATTACAAATACAAGTTTTTTTTCTTTGACAGTGTCCATTTCTATAACAAGTTTTACTGATACATAGTTGTATAGTTAAATAATTTATAAGAAAAATTCTTGTAAACTTTCTTAATACTTGTCATAAGTATGTAAATATCATGGGGTTACTTTATAAAAATAATTCAGTTTTTACTAATATTGTGCTACATACTTATACAATTTATATTTTATACTTAAGTGTTAAATTACTTTAAGTTTAATCATATTTGATCTAATAAAATAAAATTACTTCCATACATACATGTATACATAAATACTAATGTAATTTGCCTGGGCATAATTTATTGATGTTAAATAAAGTAGGTAGGTATAAACATCCAGTATAATAATAATAATAAAAAGGGTGACTCACAATCAAAATAATGAATAAAATATTTTATACAAAGTAACAAAATCAACAAAAATTCAAGAAATAAAAAAAAATAAAACTTTTGCTTTCATTTTCAAGGTGAACAGAATAAAATTGTTGTAAATAGCTATGTAGGTAACTAAATATTTATAACTGTTATACTTACATACATATATAAATTTTCTTATATTGCTCTAATAAACACATACAAGTAAAATAAATTTAACAATAATAAAAAAAATTCAATAAATTTTATATAAAGAGAATATAAATAAAAAAAAAATAAGGATTAAATTACAAAATAAAAATTTTTACACATCCCTGTAAATAATCTCATATATACAAAATAAGTAATGCTATATAAGAAATAAATGGTTATTTTTTACTTATTTCTTAAATTTATTGTGTAACTTAAAATTCATTTGAAATAAGAAAATAAAGAGAATGCAAAATTTTGGGTACACATAAGATTATTTAAGGTTGTTTAGAATTTTTTTTTTTCAGATTTAATGAGTTTTTATAAATCATAAATTTTTTAAGTTGAAAAGTAAAATTACCCTATAGGACCCTATTTTAAGCAAATATTTGTAAGTTTTTTTTTGAAATTATATTACAATAATGTTCGTAATTATTTAACTGTAGGATTTGATGTGCAACAAAATATCCTGCCCTCCCGTTATAGAGCAACAAGAGGAAACTGTGTTCAGTTATAACCACAAATTTTAGGCAGATTTATGATTAATGAAATTTTTAATTTTGCAACTGTTTGATTGCTTATTTGTTTTACATAGCTTATTTATGTATAAGCAAGCGCGCACACATGCAACTGTATGATCTCATGTACTTAATTAAGCAATCAAACAAATTTGTAATTTTTTACAAACTGTTTGATTGCGCTCAATGATTTTACAATTTTTGCGTATCTAACTGAGCCCAAATAGCTTTATGTTGACAAAAATTTCAAACAGATACACAAATGAAATTTCGAGTTGATGATTTTGTAGATTAAGATTATTGAAATATACATACATAGGTATACTATTAATGACAACTGTAATATCAGAATTGAATTTTAGAATCAATTATTGTGTTAAATTTTGTTTATGCTTCAAAGTTTGTACGCACGTATTCATACATATGTATATATGTGCGTACGTAAGTTTTGCCTATGTAAATATAAATGTATAGAGTAGTAATAAATATTTATTTAATTTAACATTTTAAGGCCTAAATAAATATAATCTTAGGGCAGGTATACATTATATATAAGCAAATATAACATTATTATATTTGCTTATATATATATACAAAAATATTATTTAAAAACATTTTTCCTTTGCTACATATTTACTTAAATATCAATATACTTAAGCCTTTTAATAAGTACTTGTATGGATGTATACGTATATATTGTATATTTATTGATAAATTGATAATCATTATTATTTTTAATAAGTAATAAAAAAATTATAGGAGGAAAAAATGCCTAGAGTCAGAGAGAATCTTTATCTTGTACATATTTAGCTCAATACACACAATTATAAACACGTATTACGTAATACATACGTATATACTTTTGCATGTAGGTGTATATCGTATCACGTATGAATATTTATCATCTGGTAAAAAGGTATTTTATAATAAACACTTAAATTCTTAAAAGGAATCAACGTATACCTACCTCTGTACTTAACGTATATAAGCAAATTTAGAAATTTAAAAGATGAAGAAATAAATCAAGAAATTTTCTTATTTTATTACTCTTTTTGTCAAAGGTTATTATATACTTATAAGTATTATCAAAAATTAAATATGTATATACAGTGAACACCCATCTTTTCATACAAAATTATAATACATAGGAAGCAAACAAAGAAATTAACAGGCCAACAAACAAATAAATATAAATAAAAAGTAAGTGTAATGTCAAAACGAGAAAAAAAAAACAAAATCGCAAATATTGACGTCATATTTATTAGAGTACCCGAAATACAATAACAACAAAACCAATAAGTATGATTTTTTTTTCTCTTATTCTCTTTCTTTCATTCTTTTTTTTTTTTTTTGCTAAATATAAATAAGTATGGAATTATTATGGACAATATGTTTGAGCTCCTTTTCTAAATTATGTATTTTATTCCCCACGTAGGCATGTATGTACATGCCGTATCGTTACGTATGAAATTATGTTGGAAAATACGGCACAGCGCGTAGGTACCTAAGAATATCATATGAATATAAAATAATAAAATACACAAAACAAATAATTATAATATAAAATAACAAAAACAAGTGTAAACAAAAAAAAAATATTATGTAAACTTATATGGATGTATGTGAATTTGTAGTTATAAACATAATATCAAGAATTTCCCTAATAGGGAGGTATGTGTATACAATGTATATAAAGCTCCAGAAAGCAAAAATATTGAAAGAAAAAAGCAAAATTCTGATAAACCAAAAAACCCCAAAAATCTATAAAAGATTTCACATTTACATTAAAACAAAATTTCAAAAAGTAAAAAAAAATATAATATAACAGTATAACATAACAGTATTATATAGTAATAATAATAATAATAATATAAAGATAAACAACGCCATCTCTTATAATAGATGAAAACAACGTCAAGGTCGTTTCGAATACACAACAATAATACACCATATTATAATGGTATATACGCCTATGATTGCGTACATACATCCATACATTATTAACTACATACACTACATACATATGTATAAATTTTTGTATACAACAAAATAATTAAGCTACGCTTTAAAATAAATTTGTATGTAAACATAAGAGTAAAATAATAAAGGTATGCGTATAACTATAAATGCACATCATATTTTTAGTACATAACTATTCCGATTTGCCAATACTCACATGAACATTATGTGCGCAAGCAATATGTATGTGTATACACGTATGTCCAATAAGTATAAAATTATATGTAAAAATGTCGTAAAAATATAGTTATTATTGAGTCCCCAATAATATGTTATAAGGCGTACATATATCCCTCGATAATTGCAAACTTATATCTAAATATTTTTGACTTAACTATACATATTTCATGCATTACACACATAGGTAGGTAGGTATATAAACTTAAAACGAAAATAAATCAAACAATCCGTTTGATATAATACATATACAATCTAAGTTTATCAAAAATCAGCATGTTATGCACACATACATCCATACTTATAAAAATAAACTTTATACACTTTAATAAATTTTTAATATTTAATTATTTTAAATATCAGGAAAATTATAGTTAAATGTCCGTCCCCCTTATAATGAATATGCACTAAAATTTGACCAACGTCAATGATTTGATCAAGATTTATTTACATTATAAAAAATACATATTTTGTCAAACTTCTAACTTTTAGTATAGTAAATGTCATAATTACAGCTGGATTGCAAAATCGTTGCCCCACATCTAAGCAACTAAATTAAATTCCAATCGATTGCGGTAAATTGAACTTAAAATTTCAATAATTATAGGTTATGTAAGTAAATCAGAGCCACTCACAGATGTAAAGTTTTCCAATCTTACGTCAAATTAGGTTTATTTCTAATTTGAAGTAAATTTATTTGTACAAAATAAATTTGCCGGTAATTTTTAGTTTATCTCAATCTTTGGTCAAAGTTTACACCATATTTTTTTTTTTTAGGAAATTCGATTCTAAAAGATATTTAATCTCAAACTTATTATTTTTAATTTTATTGTATGAAATAAAATTTATGAATGAATTGAACCAAATTTTCGCCTTTTAAGATTTTTTTTTTTTTTATTAAATACTTAAATATTCTTTTACATTAATGGTTTTTTTTTATGTATCAGAATCAAAATTAAGTAATCAACAAAAATAACAATAGAATTTGTATGAAAAAATAAACAAAAAAGAAAAGGAAAAAACATTCGATTTTTAAAAATTATTTGAAATTCTTAGAGAAACTAAAAAACATTTCATTTTGTTTAATTTGAATAGTGTTAAATTTCACTAAATATTTTTGCTCATGAAATTGAAAAAAATAAAACTTAGGGCTCTTTTTTGAAATCGCGAGGTACGCCGAAAAATTCAACTCAGGCGTATCAGAAATTAAGAGATGTTTTTAATCTAAGAGTTGTTTCTAAGGGTAAAGTTGGAATAATAGAAAATCTTAATTCAAAAATTATTTGAATTAACTAAAATTTCAAGTTACAAAATTCTACTAGCTTAAAGTGATTGAATAATACAATTTAAATATAAAAGCTAAAATTTATATATAAATTATTTAATAATTAAATTACCTAGTACTTCTTACCTTTCATGTTTTCCAAAATAATTGTGATCATTATTATTATTGTTATTATTATTATTGTTATTACCATTCGAGAAATGTCTTAATTTTGTTGATTCAAATATTACTTGACTCTTCTCTGGATGATCAATATTATGTTGATTATTATTATTATTGTTATTATTATTATTATTATTATAAAGGTTAATATTATCATTATTAGAATTTTCCATTAGTAATAAATCTGATGGTGATTCAGATCCAGATGATGATGATGATAATGTTGATGATGATAACATATCATTTATATTATTAATATTTTTATTATTATTATTATTGTGATTATTATCATTTAAATTATCATTATAATAATCATTTAAATCGATAGCAGTACTACTAAATATCATCATTGATGTAGCATTTATTTCATATATATTTTCATTTATAATATAAAATATAAATAAACTTGAAAATATTATATTAAATTTAAAATTAAATAAATTATTTATTTTTATGAATTTTTTTCTTTCATAATATTTTTTATTATTATTGTTATTATTAATTTTATTATTTTTATATAATAAATTATAATTATTATTTTTTAAATTTATATTATTCATCATATTTACATTATTATTATTATTATTCTTATTATCATCATTTTTATAATTATAATTATAAATAATTGAATTTAAATGAATTTTATTAAAATTTATTAAATTTTTTATAAATAATAAAAAATTATAATAGAATTTATATAATTGATATAATATTATTACTAACAATTTATATAAAAAATTATAATAATAATTTATAATTTTTAATTTTAAATATTTACAATTTTTTTCTTCATTTTCATTATTATTATTAGTTTTATTATTATTATTATTAAAAATTATATTAATATTATGTTTTTTTAATTTTGATTTAATATCAATATTATAATTATAATAGCTACTAGTCCGATATGAATTTTTTAATTTAAAAATTTTCCACATATTTTAAATTTTTAAAATGAAAATTGTCAATTTTAATTTTTCTTCAAATATTTTTTTGGAATATACTTATATGTATAATGTTGATTTGAATAGATTTAAAGAGTAGACAAAATTAAGACAAGTTTTTCTTCTTATGATCAATTCTTCCTATAAGAAAAAATATTTATTTATAAATGCATACTGTAAACTGCCAATACACAGCGCAGCACCCTTAAGAAAATGTTTGATATTGTAATTGTGATAAGTATCTCCTGTAATTTTGGCCGCCAAAAATTAAATTCATATAAGTTTAGAAAACTTAAAATGTCTATTTTTTCTCAAAAATGTTATTGGATTTTTATGTTTTTCACAATAAATTATAAATTTATATAGAAAACCGTGAGAAGTAGCCACTCTCCAGTACGCAGCATCCCTAAACCTATTTTTAACATCCCAGTACCCAGCATAGCATCCCATATTTGGACATTTTCTCATTTTTTTTTTTAGTTTTGGGTAATTTTGTATAGTAAAATTTATTACCCGTTTAAATATAAAGAAAAAAATATAATAAAATCTACGGTTGTAAGAAAGTAGCATCCAAAATTGCGTTATGGAAATAATGTTCAAATAAGCTCCAGTAGACAACATTTCCATAAATTTAGTTAAAATATACTAAATATATATATTTTTTTTAAATTATTGATTAAAATTAATCTTTCTTGTAGACCGAAAAATATTAAATATAAAAGTTTTCTTAAAAAATTTCGAAAAAAAGAACACTATTCCTTGACAATTACACTTTTTATATTATAAATTTGGCGCAAAATATTATAAAAAATTTTTAACAAATAAATATGATTGAAATAGAAAGAAAATAATAAAAATTTTAGTTTAATATTCATTTAAATAAAAAATATAATTGTATTTTTTTTATTTATTTTTTGCATTAAAATCAAGAGATGCTGTTGCGTATTGGAGCACTATTACATATAGACGGGCTTACAGTTTGTATTTATTTATAAATATATAGATAGTAAATATACATAGTTACATACGTAAATCGTTGTTATAAGAGTCTAACAATAATGCACCTTTAATTTTAAAAATCATTCTATGCTTAGGTGCTAAGATCACTTTAAATATATAAAAAAAAAAGGCGCTCGAAAAAAAAGCTATGCATATTATAACAGAATTAAGTTTGCTAAACAAAAATCTAAAACACAAACTTATAAACAATAATAAATTAAATTTTCGCGCTTAATTTCTATTTTACTATTATAAGATACCTACGTTATTCCTATACCTATAAATAATTAGAAATGTGCAACAATATTTATATAGGTGGGTAATTACCCACTAAGTATTTTATTCAAAAATAAAATTTATATGGAACACAACAATGCAAAAACAAGAAGATGAAGAAGAAGAGGAAGGAGTGGACTAGGATATTTTATTTCTCAATTTTATATTTTCATCAATTTTTTTGTTATTATTTTAAAAATTGATTTAATAAAAATAATTCCATAAAGTATGGTAGGTAATTTATTGATTTTTTTCCTTTTTCTATTTTTTATAAAAATAAGCTAATTATAGATTCTTTATAAGTAAACAAAATATTTCAACAAAAAATTTTGTACTTTACGCACTTTTTATTTATTTATAAATGAAAACACACAATATTACTTTAGTATATTTGCAATAAATATGAAATTTCTATTTGATCATATGGCCGACCAGCTAAATTATTTTAATTAGTTATTTTGTATTAAGAATATTATTCTTGCTTCCATTTCGCTGAAGATTTAATTAATAGGTAATTTAAAAATTTATTTTCTTGCCTTGAGTAGCTAGTAATTGGATCTAATCAGTTCTAGATTTTACAATACTTTTTTTATTACTTTACTTTTATTATTATTATTATGGTTTTTTCTTTTTGTATAGAAACTTTTGCACTTATAATAATTTCTTTAATAGAAAAGCTCTTTCAATTGACAAAACTTAAATAAATTATTAATAAAAAAAAAAACACGAAATACATGTGTATGCAAAGATAACACTCTTTTTTTTCTATAAGATTTTATTTTATTCAAAATGTTAGTTTAGGAGGATTTGGGAAGAAAAAAATTTTCTACTGTAATTATAATTTATTTTTTAATTATTTTGAAATCATTCTTTAAATTTAAAAATAGAATTTATTTAGGTTAAACTTTAAAATTTTATTTTAAATTTATTACACAGGAAAAAATCAGAAACTTTTCTCACTTTAAAAAAAATATTAATTTTTTTTTTTCTATTTTCCTTTGGTTTTTTTTTTTGTTAATTTTTTCTTTTCCCAATATGTAATAAGAAAATGTAAAAAAAAAAAAAAAAAACACTGACTTATTGCGCGACACGCATTCAACTCAACTATTATCAACTCAATTTTTCTCAATATAGTAAAATTTTACAAGTTAAAAAGAGAGAAAAATTAAACAAAACAAAAAACAATAATAATAATAATATAAAAAAGATTTTCTGACAGATATTAACGAAATATGACATTTCAGAACGAATAAAACATGAACTTAAAAAATTTATTATTTTCTTATTTATTTTTTTTTATTTTGTTTTGGATTTTGAATGGAAAATTCACCTGTTCTGTCATTCCTATCTATTAGAAAATATGTACTCATGCTCTTTTATGTCAAAAATATTTTTGTACCATAAAATATAATACATGTATATATTTTATATGTAAAATAATTCATTCACAATAGTATTTTATAAAATTTCTATCGAATGTAACCCAGCATTTACACGTACAAGTTACTTGCAAGAAAGTTGCAATACATACAAAAATTTTACTAACACATTGAAATATTTCTACTTGCTTGTTTACTTGCAGTTCAACTTGCAAGAAAATTTTGCTGCCAGTAATTTGAGCAAGTAATTTGACATATTCAGAAATTCACAAAAAAAAATTTGTTGTTTTGATTTTTTTTTTTTTTAATTTAAAATTTTTGAATTTTGTTTTGAAAAAATTAAACTTAGCAAACTTATGGTTTCTAAAATTTATAAACAATTATTATTGCTAGTTGTTTTCTTCTCAAAGACATTTTCAAAAATTAACTTGCTAAACGCCTACGTCATAATAGCAAGTAATTTGACATTTCGAAAAACTAATTGACAATTAATATTATACAAACTTGCTTGCAAGTAACTTGTATGTGTAAATGCTGGGTAATTTGAAATAATAAAATGTTTTATTGCTATTATTTGCGTAGAGAGGCGAAAACATAGAACAACCATATTACCTCGAACTACTAATACATATTGCGTAGATGATCTGTTCAGTTACGTTATTTTTTTTCTGATAGATGGTTCGTGTGTTTTCCACAAAAGTTATTTTGGAATTTGAATTATTATATTTGAAATGTTTGTTTTTTTTTATTAAATTGAAACACATGAGCTAAAATAAAAAAAGCTACATGAATAATAATGGTTATACCCCAAAATATTATAGATATGTTTTAAATTAACAAACTACATATTATAAGCTTACGAGTACATTGAACATGTTAATGGAAGGCAAATATTATGTATTTAAATTTGGAGCACAATTTATTGTTTTTTTTACTGTAATTCTTCAAAAATATTTTCGTTCAGGAATAATAATGACCATAATAATGTGCAAAGACTTGAATAAAGTTTTCATATTAAAATAATAAATTTTTATAAACAAATATGTTTTATTCTGTGCAATAAATGTCAATTTTTATAAAAGTGATTAATATTAGAAAAATTTTAGTTAAAACATGAATAGTTTGTCTGAAATTGTTTTTTGTTAAAAGAGATTTTAACTTTTTTTAAATTGTTCATTATTGTTCTGATATAATAAACATTTTTGAAACCTTAACCTAAAAATAAAAACTAAAATAGCTTAACTTAAAAAGGGAAAACGTACGTTAAATTTTATCAATTGGCAACATTAATATTTATAGGAATTTTGTGTTTGCTATTTTATTTAAAATATGTCAAAAATATCTTTGTGACACATGTGGAAAAAATGTCAAAGTACATTCAAAAACAAAAAATAAATAAAGAAAACAAAATGTAAATGTTCATAGTAATTTCAAGTTTAAATTTATACAAAATTTTTAAAAAACAGGGGGAATTATTAAAATTTAAAAAAATAAAAAAAGAAACTTATATTTTAAAATGGCTTCAAAAATTAGAGTACAAGTCGATGATGATATTAAAATATGGAAATTTCTTATAGAACCAGAATGGACAAAAATTAAACATTTAGGAAAATATCTGAAAGGAATCTTTAATTTAGAAAAAATTTTTATTTTGGATGATGATGGCTTTTTGCATCCAAACAGTAATATTAGTTATTTACATTGTATGGCTAAAAATAACGAAATATTGTAAGTAAATTTGGTTAAACAACATATGATTTGATACATTTAACCGGCAAAAGGCCGGTAAATTAATAAATGAACCTGCATTTTAAAATACATATTCCATTTGTTCCATATATTTCAGAACAATTAAAAGTTCCCTTAATTTGAAAAATGAATCTTTCGTTAGAGAAAATTCTCCAAAAAGAAAGAAACCCAAACCATTTAAGTGTCAACAAAACGAAAATAGTGATTTAATTTCTGATACTACACCAATTCTGAAACCTGAACCTGAGAAAATAAAACAAAATGGTTTAAATAAATTGACAGATCGAATGGCAAATTTTTCTCAAATTTTGAATTCGTTTTCAACTGAAGGTGTGTTAAATGGAGACCACCCAAAAAAGACTAATATCTTTAATCATGCAAATGAAATTGGTGAAGCAATGTTCGAAATTCCAAGAAAGCGGAGAGTACGGAAGAAAAAAGAAAGAAAACTTCTTTCACCTGAGAAATCAGAAACTTTAAGATTTCAGAAAACGCCAACACAAATTTTACAGACAAAAAATATAACGAAATCGGAAAATGAAAAAAAACTAAATAATGTTAATCAATCTAAAGAACATGATAAAACACATATTCGTTTTGATGATTCTGGAGAAGCTGTAACTAAGAAATCGGTTGCTAGCATAATTTTTGTTGATTATCTGGACAACCCAGATCTTAAAAAGCCTAGAGATATCAGACCTATTAAAGGTAAGAATTACTCAATAGCTTTTTAACAAGTTGTATTAATATACAATCTTAATATTTTAGTTAATGTAAATAATGATAACTGTGCTGGAAAAGTCCTCGATACCGATACTAATATTTCTCAAGAAACAGAATATAATTCTAATAATTCTGATAATAAAGAATCAACGACTGAAACTATTGAATCAAAAATTTCTGCAGAATTTTTAAATCATAAACTTGAAAAATGGGATGATTTCCCAAATTATGATGCTAATTGTAATTCGGATGCTCTTCAACAAGAAATAGATTCAAACAATCAAGAAAAACCAAAAGTAGTAGTGATTTCTAATGAAATTATTACTAATGGAGTGAATTAGATTGTTTTTCTAATCAGAATAAAAAATTTTGCATTTTTGTTATTAAACTTTTTGAAAAACGGACGCATATGTGAAGAGCTTAATAATTGATTATATTATATTACATATTTATATTTGTTAAAATGTTAAGCGTAAAAACGTTAATAAATAAATTTGTAAATTATGTACGCATATATGTAAAACTAATCAAAATAAGAAAACAATGTCTTGTTCATTCTATATATTAATTTTTCATGTTATAACGCGAGGTATTTTAAGAATTATGTATAACTAAAATTTAACACGATTGATAAAGACTTATTCATAATAAATTTGTATTGATTGAAAACAATGGAATATGCCGATCTAATTGAAATTTCTTAAGGTGTATTTTTTGATTGTAGCAATGGAAAGAAAATTAAATTATCAATCCTTTTTGTATATTGAATATCTTATTTCATATATATAAGACGAATTGCTTAGGCCAAGCATCAATTATAGTGCAAATAAAACCATCACTTAAAATCGTCATGATTTTGGCAAAATCGTCATAATTTGATGAAAAAGGACATGATGGAGATTTAGTAAGGGATAGAGTTTATTATTATGAGAGACACTGAACATTTTTGGATTAAGTTTTACGGAAGAACAAAAGAAATAGCAAAAACAAAAAAGAATTGAGCTACAATACTACAGATATTTAACAAATAGTTAAGCATAATTCAAATCCCTGGAAAGTATAGACCTCAGAACACTTTTATCAGCTCATTCTACCATAATCCGTACTGTGATGGCAATCATCAAAAGCTTCTACCAAAAAGACACCCACTTCAACAAAAAACGGTGAAACAACGTTCCCCAAAATAAATTGATGAACAAAAAACTTGTCAGCGATTATCCTACGAGAATGCAACGTCTGCAAGTATAACAATAATACCCTTAGAGAATTGGACCTTCCTCGAACGGTACCTTTCTATCAGGTTTATCTATTCTTATTTTTGAATTTAAATTAATTAATTTTGTTAACTTTAGTCAACTTTAAATTTATTTTAGTCCCTTTTCTATCAATTTTAATTATCGATTTTAAATCGATATCAATTAATCGATTTAATTAAATTTTCTCCATCATCGCAACATATGATACGTTATTGTTTATTTTTGTGTTTTGAAGTTCAGTAAACTACCGAACAGATGTAATTTGATGTAAACATGAAATTAATCGCAATTTTCAATATTTGATTTTCATTGGAATTTGTAAAACAATTGTTCCACATAATATTAAAATGATAAAATAAAATTAATGATGTCTTCCTACAATGATTTGCCACTGGAGGTAAAATTTGCTTTTTTAAAATAAAATTTATAAAATGAAAATTGTATTCTTATTTACATATGTATGTAGGTACGTATTTAACCTAGGACCTAGGTATTTGTCTGTGTGCAGAAGTTTAATATTTTTCTATGAAAGCAATTTAATTTAATATGAATCAAGTAGAAGGACAGGCTCCCAACTTAATAATTTTACAAGAGTTTGTAAAATGGAAATAACAAAGGCGTATTATGCACCCACTAATAATATGAATTTTTAATATATTTTTCTTATTTTCATTTGTTGGGGCATTTACGTACTAGTTATATTAATACACTATATTTTTATTATTTTTAGGTAATCGCAAATATTTATAAATATTTGGATGTTATCGATATAAAATCAGCTCAACTAACGTGTTCTCAATGGCTATGTGCTTCACTTTTATTGGATGTAGAAAATCGTACAGTTTTAAAGTTAACTTCTGCAAATGCTGAAAATCAACAATTATTCTCAAATAGTTTTAGAAAATTTTCTAATATTCATTTAGTATATAATGAAAACAACAGTGATAAAACTATATTAAATGAAGAAAACTTGTTGAAATTCTTCGAAATTGAAAATATAAATGGTGATATAAAAAACTTAGTTCTAGAAAAATTAGGAAATACGATTTCATTTGAAGGTTTATGTGAAATATTAAAATTATTACCAAAGTTAGAAGAATTAAAATGCATTAAAACTTATTTTAATTTTTCTGAAGAAAATTTATTACAACAATCTCAACTTATTTCAAATATTATTTCGACAAAAATAAAATCTATTATTTTATCTGGCGATTATTATACTCATAGAAATTCAAAAGTATTTTCTCAAGTAAAAAATTTGGAAAAGTTTGGTGTAGAAACATTCGTTTATAAAGATGATTCTAATTTGGATATATTTCATATAATTAAAAATAATGAAAATTGTTTAAAATGTTTAATTTTAGAGTATGATGCTGTAAATGCATTACTAGATTCTCAACAGCTTTTATGTAATTTAAAATTAAGAGAAGTATCATTAAAATTAAATCATGAATATCCGCAGTTTGCTGATTTTATTAAATCTCAAAATTTAATTACAAATTTAAGTTTAATAAATTGCTTTGAGTTAACTGATTGGGAAATGATAACAATTTTAGAAAATTTACCACTTTTGGAAAGAATAAATATTAATCAAAATATTTTATTGACGGATATAACAATGTTTGAAATTTCCAAGTTAAAAAATCTAAAATATTTGAATATAAATGAATGCTGGGAAATAGGAAGGGATGGAATTATAAATGGATTAGCTAAAAATATGAATAATAAACTAATTGAATTAAAATGCGTTGAAATTAATTTGCCAAATGATGCATTTTTGGAGATATCAAATAAATTATCGAATCTTCAGGTACTGCATTGTGGTGGTTTCAGAAAGACAATAAATGATACTGGAATTCAATATATAATAAAAAATTTAAGAAATCTTATTGATTTAAGTATATATTCCTCAGAGGTGATTCTAATTTTTCGTTTTTTTTTTTAATTCGAATATAAAATAAATATTTTTATTGTAGGTAACCGATTACGGTATTACTGGTGTTGATTTACAAACAAAACACAAAACAGGATCATGTTTATCAGAACTTCGTCATTTAAATCATTTAAATTTACAATGTGAAATAACTGATCAAACATTACTTCATGGAATCAAATTCAAAAATTTAAAAACATTGCATTTAAGATTGCATTATCCATTTTCCATATATGATTCAGCATTTGTACTCAATGTATTTACACAAAATTCGCCTTCAATAGAAGAATTATCTTTAGATGGAATACTTTATAATGAAAATGTTCATTTTGATGAAGCTATTGAAATATTAATAACAAACTTAACAAAATTAAAAAGAATATATATTAAAGGACACTGTGAAAAAGATTGTACATCAACGGATTGGACTAGAATAAATATATTTTTAATTAAATTTCGGAAAGATTTATCAACAGTTGAGATTGACTGTGATTGTAAAATATGTATAAATTTAAAATATATATGTGAAAAATTTACCCGAAAATAGTTTCTTTAAATTATTAAAGTTATTAAAAAATGTATATTTTTAAAAAAAAATTAAAGATTTTAAAAAATATGTTGCTTATATTGTTTATACACATATTATATTTCTATTAAAAAAAAATATTGCTAGTTGTAGAAATTATTGTATACACCTACAGAAATTATTAAATTTGTACATTGTATATAATAAAATATACATACTTACATTAAAAACTCATTGTAATTACCATTTATTTTTATTAAACATGTTTTCTGACTAAAGTAGTGGATATAAAGCGATACTAAGTTTTTTTCATGTTCACCAGGAACTCACAGAAATCCCCAATATCTGACAATAAGCCGTAACCAAAAAATTTTTGGAGATGTTTGAATTTCCAAAGTTGCTCTTACACCAACAGTCAAAACTCTAATGAGCAAACTTATAAAATTAACGTACTTCTTTAAAAAGTAAAAGCAAAAGTAATATATTCAGATAGCTGCCATATTTTGCAAATATAAACTAGCCAAAAAATGTTTCCTTTTAATTTTTTTAAAATTATGTTCTCTTTTTAATTAAATTTGAGTCAATAAAGACGTTTTAATTAAAAATGAGCTATAGCCATTTTTGGAAAATATAAAAAAAAATGATTAAATATTGATAAACGATACATACACAATTATGAACAATTGCCAACACTAAAATAAAATTCACAATATTATTTTCTTCATTACGATAAAAAAACACCAGATGGTGTTATGATTTTCTGTTGGTAAAAGTCAGTTGTTCTTGTACGACGTACAATAATAAATTTATTAATATTTTAAAGACGAAGCAGTGAGGGTGGAAATTTGTGCAATTTTAATTTATAAAAAAAAATAATAAGCATATAAAAATAAAGAATATATTTAATTAGTAAATAAACAGGTCAAAAATATAATATTAATTAAAAAGAAAATTATTCACGTAAATATTGAAAATGTTGCGAATCGGTTGTAATGCACTTGTGAAAACTACGAAAAATTTTTCTAAAAATGAAACTGAATTTTATAGGTAAGTTATTGGAATTAGAAATTTTTTGTAATGAATTTCTTTAAAAATTTAAATTCGAAAATTTCGTATTACAAAATTAGGTTTTATAAGTTTGGACTTTGAGCCTAAAAATGAAAAATAAATTTCATTTTATCAATGAACGTCACAATAAAATAAAAAATAGAAAGTCTAAAAATAAAATAAATTTAACATTGATATCTTTGGAAGGCCTTGTGTGTTGGTAAATAATTATATATTAAAATATACACACATCTTTTGGCCTATAATTTTATATTTTAAAATTTAAAATTAGCACGGTTTTCACAATTCAGAAATTTTATTTTCATATTCATAAATGGCTTTGTACTTATTGTTTTGTAGGGTAAGAAAAAACAAAAACTTCATACGTCTGATGAACTAGGGCAAAGTCCAAATGAGCAATATAGGGAAAACATATTTGAATGAATATATACAAGTACCTGTCTATAATTAAGTATGTATAACAAATACTTACCTACATGTTTACAAATTCAAATATAAAAATTTACATTTAATCGCAATTTATAAAAAAAAAAAAACAAAACAAATTGTCATCATGTCTATGCATTTAATATGTGTGTATGCATTCAAGGCCACTAAATAAAATAAACTTGAAAACAAGTAGGTACATAGGTATGGGTTCGTGTTTACTTAGATAGGTCTACACAAATTTGGTATAAAAATAAACACAAATTTAAATGAGAAAAAAAGTGATTTTGAATAAAATGCTGAGCAAAATATTTAAATAAACTTTTCTAAAAGTTCATTGAACTCAAATTTCATTCAATCGCCAAAAATTTTATAAAAAAGAATCTTAACAAATTGTTGGAATTTTAAAAAATTTTTAGGAATGAATTCTAGATCCAATTTTGAAATTGATTATAAATTGATTTTCATATTTCTAATATAATAGATAACATGGGTGCAAAAGTTCACCATAATTCAAACAATTTTCAAGTGATGTAACAAAAATTGATAATAATTAAAATATAATTTAATATTAAATTCAAAAATAACAACTAATGCCTAGAATCTCAATTGAATTTATAATATTTATTAATAATTCATTTCCTTTGTTTTTTTTTTTTTTTTTTTTTAGGTGTCTATCTTCTGCAGTTGCACAACCAAAAGAAGCTGCAAGCAAACCGAAACCATCAACACCTGAAAAGAAAAAAGGGCCAAATATGTCATTTATGGCAAATATATTTCGTGGAGAAATTCAATCAGCACAAATATTTCCATATCCGGATATTTTAAGTGACGAAGAAAAACAATATACATTAAGTATTGTGGATACTTTTGAAAGATTCTTTACTGTAAATAAAATATAAAAAAATTGATTCAATAAAATGATTAATTTAAAATTTCTTTAATATTTTTTTTTTAGGAAACAAATAATGCAGCGAAAAATGATGAAAATGCTGAAGTAGATCCATCAACTTTAGATACTGCTTGGGAGCATGGAGCTTTTGGTTTACAAGTACCTCCAGATTATGGTGGCTTAGGTTTAACGAATACACAATATGGTCGTATGGGAGAGATTATTGGTAAACACGATTTAGGTTTTGGTATTGTTATTGGTGCCCATCAAAGTATTGGATTCAAAGGGATTCTATTATTTGGGACACCAGAGCAAAAAGAAAAATATTTACCAAAAGTATCGACAGAAAAAGTTTATGCTGCATTTTGTTTGACAGAACCAAGTTCTGGTTCAGATGCAGCATCAATTCGTACTCGTGCAGTTAAATCTCCTGACGGAAAACATTACATACTGAATGGTTCAAAAATTTGGATATCTAATGGTGGTATAGCAAATGTAATGACTGTTTTTGCAAAGACTGAAGTTACTGACCCAAAAACTGGAGAAAAAAAAGATAAAGTTACAGCATTTATAGTAGAACGAGAATTTGGTGGTGTCAGCAGTGGTCCACCGGAAAAAAAAATGGGCATCAAATGTTCAAATACAGCTGAAGTATATTATGATAATGTAAAAGTACCAATTGAAAATGTATTAGGTGGTGAAGGTAATGGTTTTAAAGTAGCTATGGAAATTTTAAATAATGGACGTTTTGGTATGGGAGCTACCCTATCTGGAACAATGAAAGAATGTATAAAAAAAGCAACTGAACATGCAAATCAAAGATTACAATTTGGAAAAAAGATCAAAGAATTTGGAACAATTCAAGAAAAGTTAGCTAGAATGTCAATGCTTCAATACATCACAGAATCTATGGCTTTACAGGTACATATGAAATATTCATTATAGTTTTCTTTTTTTAATTAATAAGTTTTCAGATTGCACAAAATATGGATTCTGGCAGTCAAGATTATCATTTAGAAGCTGCAATTTCTAAAGTTTTTGCTTCAGAATCAGCATGGTATGTATGTGATGAAGCTATACAAATTTTGGGTGGTATGGGTTTCATGAAAGAGCCTGGTCTAGAACGTGTAATGCGAGATCTTAGAATTTTCAGAATTTTTGAAGGAACAAATGATATTTTAAGATTATTTGTTGCATTAACTGGTATTCAATATGCTGGATCCCATCTTAAGGAATTGCAAAGTGCATTTAAAAATCCGGCTGCTAACTTAGGACTTATATTCTCAGAAGCATCAAAAAGAGTTGGTCAAAAAATCGGTTTCGGTGGAGTTGATTTAAGTTCTTTTGTTTATCCAGAATTACAGCCATATGCTAAAAGAACTGCAGAATGTATTGATGTTTTTGGGAATACTGTTGAAACTCTATTAATAAAATATGGAAAAAATATTGTACATGAACAATTTATTTTAAATAGATTAGCAGATGCAGCTATTGATATATATGCTATGGCAATAGTATTATCAAGAGCGACAAGAGCCGCTTCTTTAAATTTACCAACAGCTGAACATGAATTATGTTTAGCGAAAGCATGGTGTTTAGAGGTATGTATATCAAAATTTTGGACATAATTTTAGTCAAATATTAAAATTTAATATTTTATATTGAAGGCTTCTGATCGTACACAAAAAAGTTTACGTAAAACAACAAGTTCAACTCATCTTGAAGCATATCGCAAAATGTCTGAAATTGCAAAGACAGTATGTGAAAATGAAGGAGTTAGTACAACACCAATCTTTTCAACAAACTAAAAAGCCAAATCAATTAAGCAGACTAACTTTTTTATATATTTTTTTGTATTGTTGAATCGTAAAAACAAAGCACCTCATATTTGATAGTTATTGCTGTCTATTTTATAAAGATTTAACGAAAAAATATTAAAAAGAATTTTAATAAGATTAAAAGTATGTAGTTGCAGTTTTTATTCGCAATTACAATATGCCGTAATTATATAAAATTTTTAATTTTAATTATCCTAATTTTTAATAGATTAATTTGTATTTTGTCTATTTTTTTTTTTTTCTTAATGAATCAATATTTTCATAAATTGTTTAAAAAAAAGAAATCAAATTCTATTAAAAAAATATATTTTCAAGTGATATTAATTTAAATTTGCCTTTTTATTTTTATTTTATGCAGAATATACGCGAATTGAACCGAAAGCGAAAAAAAACCATGTTATTTTTCTATTAAATTTATAAATTTTTTTATTCAACAGCATTGATATTGCGTTTTATAATTTCGAAAAATGTTTGAATTATAGCTAAAAACATGAATTTTACGATTTTTTCATCTTAACTAGAATCTCTCAAAAATCTCTCAATATCTTTTTCACTAAGGCCAGCATTTACACGTAATAAATCACGGTATTTATTACTGACCTCAAAACCTTTACCGTGACCTGGTATAATGTAATCAACCATTTCAGCTATTTTTGCTCTGTTTTCTCTTTGCATATCTGGTGATTCACTTCCACCGTCATCTAACCAAATTTTTTGATCGATTATATCTTCTTCTTTTTCAAATAAATCACCACATACAGCCACGAGCGGTGCTAAATTTGTATTTTCAACTAACACTGTTACACATGTTAATGTATGACCAGGAGTGGGCATTATTGATATATCATCAGTTAAATGAAAATTACCTAAAAATTAAATGCTACTTGTACATAGTCAAAGAAAAATTTATGATTATATTACATACCGATTCTAAAATCATGTTTCAAATATTTATCTTTACATGATATACATTCTCCAACAATATGATATTCAGCATTTGTAAATAAGTTATTGTTACCACAATGATCTGAATGCCCATGCGTGCTCACAACAATTTTTATATCTTCTGGCTTTATATTATGTTCTGACAAAGCTTTAATTGTTTAAAAATTAATTTCAATGAAAATCAATAAATAGTTTTTAAGATTTAAACCTTGTAAAATTTTATCTTTATCCCATGGAGTCATTGTATCCACAATAATATTATAGTTATTTCTGCCTTTAATTAAAGTACAAGTACAATTAGCTCTTACTGAATTTACTGAATCTTGGGGATCTATATAAGAATATCCTAAAACAAAATTTTCAATCAAACATAAATATTAGCAATTTTAATATTTTAAATATAAATGTAATTTACCTTCATATAAAACATATATTTCATTTACATCTAGAGCAGCAGCTTCATCATCCATATTGTTAACTTGAAGAAAAAGAAATGTCAAAAAAGCCGGAATAATTAGAAACCAAACGTAATTTAAAATTCAAGTGAAAGTAAAAAAAAATAAGAATGCCAATATATTTATGTAAAAACGCGAAATCAGCTGATTTTGACATTTAGTGGTTTAATCGATTCGATTGTCAAAACAAAAGTTTTGTACATAAAATATAATTTCCCTTTATAATTTTCAACATAGCTATTCACAATTTATATATCAAATTTTGTATCGCAGACACATTAATTCACAATGTTTGAAAATAAGATATTCAAAATTACAAAAATAAATATCCTGAAAATATTCTGTTTCCAGAATAAATTCCAAAACAACTTTCTGATTCCAAATTATTTGTTATATTTTTTGACGAATATTTATCTAATGTTATATTATACATACTAAATTACCTAGATGAATTGTTTGACTTGGTTCTTAAAAACTGTATTTTACATAATCTTTTAATGGGTATTTCTATGCTTCGCTGCTCGTTATTGGATCAGTAATATAAATTGTTATATTATACTTTAATAAATTAGCTTGTTGATCGCGATCATAGAAAAATTGACAAGCACTGAGACTTCATTTTATTTCGACGAAAATTTCCCAAATTACCTGTTTGACGTTTCAATATTTATGTACAGGTATTTCATTTTGGTAATTCGTTTCGGTACACTAAATTTTGTAAACTTCGCAAAAAAAAACAATTTTTTCTAAAACTTTTAATTTTGTGATACTTAGTTGTAGAATAAATTGGAGATGTAAAACTCAATTAAAAAAAAACCAGCTCAAATTAGTTTTTAAGATTATAATAACAAATTGAGTTAAAAGATAAAACAACTCAATAAAATTTCAGGTTTCTTTAAATTCCAAAGCACATACATAGAAATATCAGGTATTATTTAAATTAAATTTATAATGTTTATCTAAAAGAACAAATTAAATTAGGAAAATATTAATTAAAATAAAATTTATTTTAAAACGCAGCTGGTTGACCATGGATGGTCTTTTAATTTTTGACGCTTCAAGTGATTTAGTATATAGAAAACTCAATGATGAGCTTAAGAAAAAATTTCAGGAACTAAGCCCAGATCCAAATGATAGTGATACAAATGAAATAGATGATAATGCAATACTACAAATTTTCAGTCCAATAATTAATTCACAAAAAATTATGTTCTGCCAATTCGATAATACATATTCTTCATTTAAGTGTGAATATGGTAATTTTGTATTTGGTGAATATCTAGGATTCATGTTCATAAAAATTGGACAACAAACACTTGAATATATGAATAGATGTGTTTTGGTTTCGATATCATTTGCTAAACGTTTATGTGGAACAAATTTAATAAGTTTAAAGCAAGAAGAAAATAAAAGAGATTTGTTTACAGATCTTATAGATATGTGGGAGAAACTATATCAAGAGGAACAAAGTTTTTTGCTTGATGGAATCGATCGTCTCATCATTAATGCAGATGTAACAAATGTTATTAATCAAACACTTCAAAATGTTATTGAGAAATTACAGCAAGATCCTCATTCACAAAGATGTCATGCTTTTTTGTTTGTTGACAAAAAATTAGCTGGTATTCATTCAAGTCGTTCAGCTCAGAAAACCAATACATCTGATATTATATTTTTATTTATAATAAATAAAGTTTTACAATCTAAATTGGAATCAAAAGCTATCAACATTCAATCACATTTATTTTTTTTAAATGGAAAATATAATAGTAATCAGTCCGGTGGTTCTGGAGGATGTATACCACATATCGTTCATACATCTCTACTCGATAAAATGTCATTAACATTAATTATTGAATATGGTAATTTAAATGTTTCTAATAACATATATGAAACATTTTTTGCTTTACAAAAAATACAAACTCTACAAATGCAAGGAGATTTAGAACATTTAAAAACAGCATTTGATAATTTGGAAAGCTGTTTTAAACAATGTATTGATGCAATTAGAAAAGCAAAATTTAATAGTGTCGAAATTGATAATGCTTTAAAAAAATTTTCGTCTAGATGGGACGTATTACGTAAAAAATATCAAGAATATTTCAAAAATTTTGATAAATCTGTTGTTTTGCAAATTGAATCAAATATGCCAATATTTTTAGAAGAACTGAAAGAACTTTTTAAAACAACTTGTTCAGATTGTGCAATATTAGATCATGGATTTGAAAGAGTTTTAGAAATTTCAACAATGGTCGAAGAAAAACTTTTAGAATTTTCAGAATTTTTAAGTGTTAAAGCTCAAAGGAATTTATCAATTGGTTCATATTTAGAAGATTTTCCAGGTTTAGTTCATTTTATTTTTGTCGATCGTACAAATGGAAGTATTTTTGCACCAGATTTTGTAACAGAAACTTATATAGCAAAAGAAAAAATTTGGAGTATGGTCGAATTATGTAGATATTATTTAGTTAAAGGACATACATCAATTATGTGGAAAGATACATCATATAATTATTCATATTTTTTATGGTTTGAAGATCAAAATGGTATAACAATAAAACCAAAAGATTTAGAAAATAGTTTTAATAATGTTAATTCATTGAAACCTCGATACGAACCTGGAATTTTAGGTGGGAATTTTTTTCAACGTTTATCTGAAGTTTGTTTTCCAAAAATGACAATGTCGAAAATTCGTTGTTATGAATTATTTTGTATTCATTTGGGTCTAGTGACAGCAACATGCGCTTTAGATCATTCAAGAAGATTAATTGCAACTATAAGTGATGTAACAGGACCCTCTGTATTTGATATCTAAAAGAATTTATATATCATATTATATGTGTATAAATTTTATTTTAATGTTATATATTAATTACTAACAATAATTGTCTATGTAATAAGTATTACATGTAATTTAAAAAAAAAAAATAAACTCATTCTAGTCAAAATATGAAAATATAAAAATTTAGAACAAATTTTTTTTTTTTTTACTAACAATATTAAATTTAGTTAAAAGAAAAATAGATAAAATTTAAGTTAAAAAATATGTACCTTTTGTGGCAATTTTAAAATTAATTATGTATTTGTAAATTTGTTCGAAAATTTTTTTATTAAAGAAAATCATATTTTTAGAAAACTTTTTTTAAAGTTCAAATTGTATTATTCTATTTCAATATTTTATGCTATTAAAATTTATTTTTTAAATTTATATTGTAATTCTCTTTTTTTTGGTAGGTATGGCTAATTTTAATGCACGTTTTTAATTAAAAAGAAATTTTTAAAATGATTTTTTAAATAATGAAAATAAATGATGAAAATGAATTTAGAAATTTATTTTAAGCTAAAAATTAAAAAAAAAATCAATAATATTTTAATATAAGCTTATTATTTTATATGTTTTACTATATTTGATTATGTTATTTTTTTTCTTGCTTTATAAATAAATACAAATTTTAAATCGATTTTAATTTTAATATTTTTATTAAAATTATTGTTATTAATTTACTAGCACATTCCTATTGTACTTATTAAGTTTTAATTGTTCATTACTTTAAAAAACAGAAATTTATATTAAACATATTGAAATTATATTTAAATACGATTTATATGTATGAGTATGTATAAAAAAAAAATAAGTTTAAAATAAGATTTTTAACTCAAATAAAATTATTTAAAAAAAAACAAAAGCATATTTCAAATTAATCAATAAATAAAATAATATTGAAAATTAATGTATGTATGTAGTTTTTATAATTTTTATAAAATATTCACGTTAAGAAGACTCTCATGATTACCTTATTGAATGATGAACCTTACGAATGATAAACTTTCAGAAAGTTGATTTGTACTCATTTTCAGTGATTATTCATAATCTAAACAAATTGATCAAAATAAGGCGGTTTTCGCTTATTCATTTCTAGAATAGTTCTAGTTTGTAGCACGCTCGAAAATCGTCACGCTACATACACTAAAAATATAGATCGTTCAGAAATTACTGGCTGTAATAAAATGCGTTCGAAAATTCAATCTTTAATAAATAAATGTTAGAAATTTAGCGCAGACATCTAGTTTAAATTTTGTCGCTGCCTCGTGAAGCTTTTTTTTTTTATGTTCAAATTTAAAATTCGAATCGAAAATTCAAAATGAATTTTAAATTTCAAAACGGCAAATTCAAATATTGATGGATTATTAAAGTAAGTTTTCTTTAAGTTTTCAAATCTTGTTAAAATTTCCATATTTTGCAGTGATTTGGAGGGCGAAAAGTATTGCAGTACTATTTCATAAACAATGTCATTTCTGTTATTTTCGAACGGACTGATTATTTTTATTAGATAAGTTTCAGAATTTGTAGACTGCGTAAACTAAAAAAAACTTAGCTGAAGTTTTTTCATACTGCTTAACACTGCGGCTTAGAAATTTTAGTTCTTTTAATGTAGAACTTTCAGCGTAGCGTGCATAAACGAAAACTCCCTTATTAATTAAAGAAACCAGTATAAGACAAATTTTTCAATCACTATTAAATAATTAGTTAAATAAATTTTGTAATCCGAATTTTTATTATAAATTTTAATAAGAATTTATATATATATGTGATCTGTTGTGAAGAATCGTTTATACTATATACAGGAATTTAGGTAATTAACAGTAACAGTCTTAGTACAACATGGTAGGTGATGTTAGTTTTAGTAAGATATCATTATTATTTTGACTGATCTCTTGCTTTTAAATTTTATATATAAAAAAATAAAACAATAAAATTTTTAAATAATATTTTTATATTATGTATATATACTATATTTATGTATATATATATATATGTATATATAGATTTTATTCATAATTTAAAATTTTCATTACAATTTTTCAAATTAAAACAAATATAAATTTTTTAATTTTATTGCAAATAAAAAGTTAATTTTTATATTTTTTATTCTATATTTTCCTAGAATAATTTTTTAAGTGGGTTTTTATTATAATTATTTACTATATATATTAAATAATATTATTTAATTTGCTTTTTTATTTTTTATTTTTATTTTTTCTAAATTAAAATTAACTAATATTTATATTTTAACAAGTTCAATATACTTAATATTGTAAATCTATTTTTATCAATTAAATTATATTTATATTTAAATAAAATTATAAAATAAAATTTTGATTTAATTTACAATTATTTTAAAATTAAAATTTTTTGTTTATTGTACATTATTATAGGAAAAATTTATATAATATATAAATTTTAATAAGAACAATTTCTAGTTATTTCATACTATGGTCGCCCGCCTACAAAAATGCAGATCTAATGTCAAATCGATTTATTCAGTAATTAAAACAGTATAGCTAAATAAGTCAAATTGGCATAAGATCTGCATTTTGGTAGACGGCCTACGAATTATATTAAATGTTTTTTGTCAATAATCTTCCAAAAATTTTCTGGTCATTGCAAGTTTTTAAAAAATCACTTAAAATTTTCAAAAGCCTCTCGCCCCTGTAATTTATGATAAAATTAGGGAAATATTAAATTACATTTAAAGTGTGATTTTTTTTTTTTAAGTAGCTGCTGCATATTTTTTTTTTTTGTTTTTAGTGTTTTTTATTGCTTTAATTAAAAAAATTCTTTCTTGTAAGCTAAAAACAGAAATTTTTTTATAAAAATGATCGTAATATTTTTTTTTTATATACTTTTATAATTTTTTTTTTAAATTTTATGTAAAGCGGAAGGCATCCTTTTAAACATACATATAGATTTATTTATATTTACAAACATAATATAAACATTTTTTATATTGAATTAAATGGCATGTACCAAAATGCAGATTTAACGTCCAAACTAATTTATTCAATAATTAAAAATGTATTGTTGAATATGTCAAATTAACGTTAGATTTGCATTTTTGTAAACGCCCAAATTATTACAATATTTGATGAATTAAATTTTGTTAAAATGCAGTTTTTTAAGATTTAATTAGTTTTTTTATGTTTTTTTATGTTTTTCATTTTCGAGCAAAGCAACGCTTTAAAATTTTTTGTTAATATTTAAGATATGTATGTAAAATTTAATATACAAATATGTATTAATATAAATTTAGTCATGTTTAACTATAAAATTACAGTAACACGGTATTAATATAAAATTCAGCTGATGCATTGTTATTGCTGAATTTTGTATTATATGTTCATTTAATATATATATATATAATTGAATGTAATATTAAATTTGAAAATGAAAGTAAAATGAGAGATATTTGCTTAAAATTACCATGATAACTGTATTGCTAAATAATTCAGCACATATAAATCGTAAGCTTACATAATTCAGCTTATGAGATATAATTGCTGAATTATACAGGAATACAGTTATTAACCGTTTTACTGCAATTATAAAATCAGAATGCGTTTTCTTAACACGATACACGGTAACACTGATCTTATATACGATTTATTAAAAATTTAAAAAAATTCTTATATAATTTTCAATTAAATGAATTACGTTTTGAAAAAGTATTTGCGTATACGAATTGAGTATGTTATTAAATTTTGTTTATTAAATTAAGCATTCCTTGATTTCAAAATTGCTGTAAAACGATATTACTACACAATTCAGCTTATGAGTTGTATTTGCTGAATTGTGTAGTAATACAACAGTTGTGTAGTAAGACAACAGTTGTCTAGTAAGTAGTGGTGTATTACTTCAATTCTGAAATCATTCAAATAAATCAAGGATTTAGGTATCAAAGTATAATAAAAAATTAACAAAATAATTACAATATAAAATTTTCTATGCAAATACAACAATTTCTTTTATTTATATTTTTTTTATATTTTATCTAATTTACTATATTAAATTTTCTAATAATTTTTTAATTTACAATAAATTTTAGTTAACACACACATTTATATTTCTTTTTGATTTAAATTCATTTCAATCATAATAGGAGTGTAATATTTTTTTTTTATTTATTTTGAAATTAATTTCTTATTTTATAATTAATTAATTTTACTCTTAATATATTAGAAGTGTTTATTTTTATATCCTATATTATGGAATCGTAATGGTGCATTTTATAAAATTTTTCTATTAAAATTTCAAATTTTCAAGTAAAATATTTTTGTGCTTTTTATTATTTTTGAAAAAAAAAAAAGAGAATTTATGACGCGTGGGTGGTTTTATTGAATTGTCATTCTTTTGATTTTTCTGAATTAACATTATAGTTATTTATGGTTTATCTTTTAATATATTAGTAAATTTATTATACTATATGTACAAATATTCTATAATTTTTAAAATATATGCATGTATTTAAAAAAATGTTTGAAATTTAAATGAAAAAAAATTCAAAGTGTAATGCTCATTATTGATCAAATCGGATCATTATCATTTTTGACCAGCATATGTATAACACATGTATAAGCTACTGTTTATTTCTGAAAGTGTTGACATAAAGTTTTTTGTATAATTTTCATTCATTATTTTTGTGGATTGTAATTTATTCCATTTGAAGTGTTTAGTTTATAACAAATACAGTCACAATTAATATTTTTTCGTAACTAAGTACCTACATATACTCTTAAAGTTCCTTATTTCTTTTTATTTTATTTTATTTTCATGGAAAACTTTAAATTGTTATACATTATTTTAAAATATTGTATATTCCTGTGGTTATAGTCCTTTGAAACCGAATTTTTTAAAATGTAATTTTCAAAATAAAAAAATAAAACATATACTTACATATAATATAAACACGGCAACACGCTATTGTTATTAGAAAGTTGACAAAAAAAAAAATTAAAACTAATTTGCTTGTCAAACAAAACTGAGTTTTATTTGTAAAACGAAATAAGGCCCGATCGAAAAGAAAGTTTAAAATAAAGTTAGAGTATGATTTGAAGGAGATCAAATAGGCGATATTAATTAAAATTTAGTATATACTAGAACTATATTAGCTTTCTATTATAAATATCACTAAATTATAGAAAAAATCATAAATGCGTTTATATACAAACAAATATGAGTAAGGGCATTTTCGGTATTTC